TATTCTGTCCCCACCCAAGCTGAAGCATAACAAATTAATCACGGCAAGGTTTTCAAAACATTTCCAGTAAATATTCGTTGTATTTTCCTTATCTACTTACAGAGACAGAACTCTGTAAAAAGTCTAAAATGAAGACCCTGAATAGGGTCCAACAAAGCGTTTGAAGCTCAGGCATGTTCAATATCTTTGGAGCAAATAATCTTTGTTTAGCTGACGGTTCAGTGTTTTCTCAAAACCTTACGTACCCATACTATCTTTTTAACAGCGAGCAAGTCCTCTGCCTTTGGCTTGGGTTTCATTTCTAGCATTTTAGGTTAGTCATATGCCCTTATGAATGTTTACCATGATTTAAGCAGTACTTGCACATTCTGAGAGAAATTAAAATACTGTATTTTACCTTTATCTATCATCTGATATGAAGGCCTATACTTATCTACTAAGCAAATGAATGTAACATCATGAAACATGCCAGGGCATGGTTTCTGTTGCACTTTGTAGCCCAGTTGCTTATCAGCTTTCAAATAAGAAAAAGCAAATGCAAGACTCATATTCTTCAGAGAAGCACTGCGCAAGTAAGGTTTAGGGACATAGTTCGTAAGACAGCAAACTGTGTTTCATTCAAGAAGGGCAGTATTCAACATGAAGTACCCAAATTTGAGTTGCTCCTTTACTTTTGTTCCTTCTTTTTAAAAAATTAGAAATACCTTTTTTTTTTTCATTCAAAATTAATAGGTATCTGGAATAAAGTGTCAAAATGTACCTGCACCTCCCTACTAATTTCCTAGGTATTGGGTTGAAATTCAACTATAAACCTTGCAGTAAACCAGGAGAAGACACACATTTTGCAGCTTTAGAAAAGACAGCAGTCAATCCTTATTTTCTGGGTATTTCACATTAACTATGCAGAATGGGAGCAGAAGTGACATAGGCTGTTATGCATTTCTCTGTAAGAAAGTAGAAATTGCTTCAGCCCAAGTATCCCACTGCAGCTACGTGAATTAACTACAGACCTGCTAGAGTGGCATCAGAGCATTTAAAATTGACATTTACAATATTACCAGCAACAGGTGGTAAAACTAGTCAGAAACACTTAAAAATATTCCCCCTGTGACATCATATTTAGACCATTCTCCAGACAACAGAGAAGTTTTGAAAGACAGAATGTGTTGGGAAGTGACGGAGAGCTACCACCTATCAGTTTTACTTATTAACACATCCTGAAAGCGAGGATACGTGACAAAGCTTGGGAAAAGATATTTGTAATACAGTTTTTCCCTGCTACAATAGCTTTCCACAAACATCACATCTAACAATGCAGATGTCTATTCCATGTGCTCTGGTTTTAGCTGAAAATGATACCTTGAGGTTGATCAGTTACCACACGTACAAAAATACCCTTGTACACATACCGAAGACAGGCCACAAACTAGAACAAGACATGAACAGCACTTTTAATGTATCAATTTATTGCATATGTCAGTACATAAAAATAGAAAAGTGTTTTTTGTAAAATTAATTGTATTGTAAAAACCAGACTAGAATGAAAATGTAAAACTTTGCCACGATTAGCACATACACAGTAACATTTACGCTTTGTCTACAAAACTTAGGAATACTTCGTAAGACATTTTTGCTTTAACTATATATTAAAGAAAAATCAAACAAAAAGCTTGCATCATATATTCAATGACTTTCTGAATTAAAACCACAAGTGTTATTTAGAACTTCAATATGCTATCTCTACTTACACTTCTGGAGGGTTCTACTCTAAATTATACAAGCAAGAGGGCATTGTAAATTAGGCTTAATGGGATACACCAGGCTGATCCCACTGCATGCAAGAGGCACTGATTTTATATTTGGCAGAAGTGCCCCTAGCAAAATCACCTGTCATTAACAAAAATAAAAATGTACTCCTCAAGAATTGAATTATGAAATACAAATGGAGGTATGTCTGACTCTTTTTGCTAATAGAAGAGACCATACCTTGGACTCTCAATTCAGCCTTGCATTCTTCACTGTGAACACCCAACGTGACGCAAATGATTAGCTTAGAGATGCTGATACGCATATTTTGTATGAATAGTTAATCCATCTGCCCTTCAACTGAGAGATTGTCCGTAGCTTACCAATTTTATTTGTGCTCTGTTTCTAATTTTACCTGAGAAATGGACATGAGGGCAGCTACACCAGTTAACATTTCTTCAGATGAAAGCACAGCTTATCTCTTTGCATTTTACACTTCAGAAAACAAAAGCTGGGAATGTAAACTTGGATTAGCAGGAAGCCTCAAGTATTTCCACTAATTAAAACCACTGACACATGTGCACACATGAGGTCTTATACTGGATGCTTCCTTACAAGGACTCTACTGCTACAGCTGTTCCAGCTCAACTCCTGACTCCCTCATTTTTTTAATTTTTTATTTTTTAAAAAAAAAAACCAACTTAAAGTTCCTCTTATAAAAGAGACAATTCCTTTAATGAGCATATTTAAACCAAGAGGTTTTCTTACAAACCCGTGAAAATAACAACTTCCTCTCCTCAAAATACAAATTTATATATACAGGACAAATACTTGGGAAACGTCTATATACAAATGAATAATTGTTAAGGGAAAACATTATAGTGTTAAATGGAGTAAATTAAACAGTAGCATAATACACCTTTTGGCAATTTAAAGTTAGTAGTACTATGTTGCTTGCAGTTCACTGTCTGAAAATGGCTTTTAGCAGCAGATAACTGTGGGTTTCCACCACACAGACCATAAAAATAAAAACAAGCCTTGACTTGTCAAAACAAGTTTCTTCCCCCTTCTCCCTCCCCTAAGAGATCATACGTACAGCAGTGGAATATTTGCATTAAAAAAAAATCATTTCCTTCCCATTTTCTTTCAGTGGATTTCATAGCCAATGCAGTGAAGAACAGAATGGTAACAGACATTCATTCACAAGTGTACACGCCCAACCCATTAACGGAGAAGTAAAGATGTGCATATGTGAAAGGTGGAAGAAATCACATGGAGCGTAAAGGATCCGCACGTGACAATTCTATCTCCTCATATGCAATACTTGCAAAACCATGCAATGTTTCATCTTTATGTCCTGCAGACAATATAGTGAAAATATATGGCTTGATAATCTAAGGTTATGTACAGATACAGTCCGTTCTGAAGAGCTCCAGATTGCCATCATCCGATATCACGCATTTGACTTCCACTTAGCAACTGTGTGCCCAAATAAGAATACTTCCTTTGTATCTCAGTGCCACATCATACTGAGGATATTTTGAGTTTTTTAGCAGGGAGTGGATGAAGACGACGCATTACTTTAGAAATCAACATTTTATGAAAAAACCCAATGGTATTAATGGCAAGTTATGACAACTTCTGAAATAATTATTTACTTTCTCTTCATTCTCTCTCCAAGTAATCTATTCTTTTGGCTTATCAACTTTTTTAGAAAAAGCAGTATTTGCCCACTTATTTTCCTTCTCTCCCTCCACATTAGTTCTAAAGCGATGTGAAGGAGCTGAAACAATATATGCAATCAGCTGACATTGCCATTTTTCAATACATCAGGGAAAGGGAATGCTATTAATTCCTTTCTGCTACAAAAACACACCCCCTACCCCCACTCCCCAGCCTTCACCAATATACCTTCCCCAGCCGCCTGCCCCTCAAAAAATACCAGCACTGGGAAGCTGAGGAGAAGTTTGGAGTTCACTCAGATTTAAAACTGCATATATCCCAAAAGGTCTACAGCTTTTTCAATCAACTCTAAGAAAACCTTAATAATAGTATGACAAAAGACACTTACCAGAGAAGGTGGCAACTTCTGGTATGTATGTGTTTGTTTAAAAAAAAAAAATAAAAAAATCACATTTAAGTAAAGATGTCACCCTATGATAAACTGCTGACAACTATTACCCACGTGTACACAAGACCTGTAATTCCACGTAGTAAATTTTAGGAGGCATAACCATTAAGGCATCAGTTCAGGAAAGCAGTTTTATTCAAGCAGTGAACTTAAGCACAGGCTTAAAATACCACTGTCCATCAGGAAACAGATTTTAAGTGTGTGCTGAGATGCTTTTCTGAATCAGGACAATATGGCAGAAAAGTTTATTTAAAAATTTCAATCCGAAGGGCAATTGTACAGATTGTGTGGAAAATTTTCCAGTTTGTTCTTCCCATGAAAAATATTTTGAAGAGGCAAACTGTCAGCTGCAGAAATGAGAAATTAAACCTGCTGAAGAGATTTAAACAGCCCCACACTCCAACATGGACTGAGCTAACAGCATAAAACTTTGATATTACTACCTAGGATAAAGACTCCTATAAACAAACAAGAACCCCAGCATTCAGTTAGAATGAAACTCTCTCAGTTTAAGTACTGCTGGCTCTGAAATGGTGAAACTAGCTTCAAAAATCCCAGCAGAGCTAAAGAAAAGTCACTTCTGCTGGTGCCTAGGTGACTTCCACATGGTACAACAGAACCATAAAAGACTTCTTGCTAGCAAATGGGTAAAAGTGTTAAAATAAATGTTGTCTCTTTCAGACCAACTAAGCTTAGGTCTACTAAATTTAAATGCACTGCTCATTTTTGTTATCCTTACTGTACCAACTGTATACATTAATCTCTAATTGTGTGATTAGAGCCTAAAAAGAAACAAAAAAATCACAAATCAAACACAAATACATACTTTTACCTCGTATGACACTCCTTTCTGTCACACCACCCACTCTGCCTTGGGAAATCCCACCTCAAATGCACAAGCAGACTAATACCAACAAATAGTTTGCCTGTATGTCACTGAGGAGAGCTTGGGCTGTGAGGAGCTTAGATCACGCTGCTCTTTTTGAAGGTTACTTCTATTTTCTATGAAGAAATTGCCTGGGCAAAATCCTGAAGTCATTATGTTTAGGCACATACAACTTTCTGGGCACTATTATAATACAAATAGTAAAATGAAAACAGGGAAAGGGTCTCTTCCTCTTCAGGTGCAGTTTGAAATAGATACATATGCATAACCATAAAAAACAGTAATAACCCAGGATAGTATACCTGCAAGTATACTCTACCATTAATGTTATTTTATATTATTTAGCACATTAAAGACTTCCCACCTTGCATAATATAAAATTTCAAGGAATAAAACACTAATCTCATGCATGGCACACTTTAAAAAAACTCTAAGAAAAGCAACAAATCATTGTGCTAACCATGACTGTCCAAAAAGCTCACTCGTTCAGCAGTGAGTACTGAAGAGCTTCCCGTTGTTCTAAACTAACACATTCTGTACTACTTTTGTAGCAAGTTCTTTTAATAGCATCCATTGCACATATCAAATGGAATATATGGACAGATACCAAAAAAGTATGAGAAAGACATAAAATGGTTCATTTACAATGCTGCAAATGTAAAAGTTATCTGGAATATCTTAATAAAGCATCAGACCTTTCCAAGTTTAATTTCACTCTTTAGGCAAGTACAGACATGACATACATTTAAAAATGGACATTCTTTTACCACTTTTCACAAATCAAGATACAGTGCAGGTACTCCCCCCACCCCAAAGAAGAATATCAATTATATTATTGTTATGTTAGATGATGTTTTCGCCATTTCTTCAGGGGAGTGACTCTTTATTACTTCTTTGATGAACTGTTCAAGTGCAGTGAAATAACCCTGGCACTGCCAAGTGTCATTGTGAGTTCCATCAGGAAAGATCGCCAATCTCTTAGTCCGAGCTGGGGATAATTCATACAGTTGCTTCATCATAACTGGTGGAATTAACTGGTCAGACAACCCAGAGATGAAGAGAGAAGGCATTCTGCACTGAGCAATTTTTCTGTAGGACAGAAATTTATTTTTGTAGCACCATAAAGGAAGATATCTCATTGGAAAGAAAGAAAACAAAGTGCTGGCCATGTACGGGATGCTAAGAAAGGTGTTCTCCACCACGATGGCAGAAATCCTATGGGAATTTTCAGAAGCTAAGTGAATAGCTACTGCTCCCCCCAAGGAACGGCCAAAAAGAAAAATTTTTGTTTTATCAAGATCAGACCGACTCATCACATAGTCTAACACAGCCTCAGAATCTAAGTACAAACCTTCTTCACTTGCTTCTCCTTCACTTTTACCATACCCTCTATAATCAACGAGAATTAAGTTTACTTTCAGGTTTACCAGCATTAACAAAGCATTTGGCAACCTGTGGCCAATGTTGCCTGCATTCCCATGAAAGTAAATGATGGTTGGAGAATACGCTGCATTGTCCCCTGTGTATCTCAGCAGAATAAGATTGAGAACAACTCCATCTTTGGTTTTGATGAAGATATTTTCATGTGGTATACCAGTAGGCATAGGAACATAAAGGCGTGATGAAGAGGGCTGTTCAGGAAAGTAAAGCAGCACATCCTGGAATTTATATAATATACCCGCTATTGAAACAAATATTAATATAAGTAGTATAATGCCTCCGTACAAGTGAAAAGTTACTATCAAGGGTAAAAGACAAATACGGCAGAGACTCCAAGACCAGGAAGCCAAGGCTAGTAGCCATCTTTTAACAAAGGTCCAAAGCATCCATGACTTTTCCATTGTAGAAGTCAGTGATCTTTTACTCCAAGTAAATCCTGTAAAAAACCCAAACATATGCGTATAAATATAGGGGAAAGAAAAAGGAAGCGATTCAAACATACATACTTGCAGAAGATTAATGGCAAGTCAATACATTCAAGCATAAACATCAAACTTGGTGGCAAAGTCCCTTTGATTTGTTGGAAACCATTCAACTCTGTAAAACAGAGAAGGAAAAGGCTTTAGAACTCTTCAAAATCCCATTTACATTATTTCAGCAGGCAAGGTCCATCAGTAGCACTCGAAAATTGGTTGACTGGGACCATAACAACTTACTTACGCTTTCCCTCAGTCTTTCCTACGGACCAACAGAACAACCACACAGACTGTATCACCAGTTTGTCAAAGCTTCTCATGTAAGTAATTCTAGAATCCAGAGAACACAAACAAAAAAATAGCCCTTATTTCTAAGCTGCTACTGATTAAGGCCAAGAGAGGCATTCAACAAGCCTACGCACTTCACTGCAACCAGTGGAGGCTCACAATGCACACAGGGTCTGCCATAGTTTAGTAGCAGTTTTTCAGAATCTTGACCAACTGTGATCACTGAGCAACATGTAAACCAGTCAGAAGAGACTCCTCTATAGTAAGATACTGCATTGTAGTTACATTTATGACAGCTGTTTTGCTATATTTGGATTGGTTCTGATTTATGATGATCATTTTCCACTGTTAGGACAGTAATCCGTATTAAATCTTCAGCCGAATGAAAGACTGTATCATCATACAAGACCACTGAAAACAGTCAGCTAACTAAATTACTCTCTGATCAATGAAAAGCACAACTACTGAAAAGTCCAAACATGAAAACAGACTCATGACAAAGACATACACACAGCATAAAATGAAGGAGAGTCATGTTCACGACAATGGATTAAATCTTCTTTCCAAGCATAAGAGATAGCTATGTCTCACAGCATGCACAGAATCTCTCACATTATTCACTGCTGGGTTCAAGTGTAATATGGAAATAACAAAACCTGCCAAATCTATGTGAGAACTAGAGTAACCGTTCAGTTGCCACTGAGTTGAATAACCGTACTGCCTGGAAGAGATAACACAAGCTCACTTGTTTAAGAATACTCTAAGTTATATAGGAGATAATAAATATAGTTTAGCCCCACTCAAAGTTACTGCACTACATCATTTTAGGAGGTTGTAAGAAGCTGAACTAACTCCAAAGGAGTCTGAAAAGCTGAGACGCGTCTAAGCATTCAATTAAGTAACAGGACCCACACCAGAACAAGCTGTATGGCCTAATACTACTGGAGCGGGCTGCAACTGCACTGGCTGTCTTGGTAGGATCAAGGGATAAAAAGGTGACCTCTGCAGTCACCGCCTTTGCACTCCACAAACATGATAACCCAATATGACCACGAAAACCTGCCATCTCTAATTATTTTATGTGAGAATTACATATAGATCAGAAAATCTGTTACATCTTAAGATTCACATATTAACCAAAGGCAACGTGAAATTAAGCTTTTATATACTGTATCTACTCCAAATATGTAAAACTGGTGAAATACAAAGTAGTGTAGACAGCAGTTATCCCAACTTTGACTCATTATTATTTATGAGCTCATGTTCAATATCCACATCCAAGAACACACAAATATTGTCTATATGAAAATTTAATTCTCATGATCCATTTCTCTAGTAAAGAATTACTAACAGGAATTAGAAGACACAAAGTAGGTACTTTATATAAGAATTTCATGAAGAAGTTGACAAACATTTGCTGTGTTACATTTCAAGACCATAAGAACATTGATAATGACACACTAAAACCACTCTCCTTACCTATGCGATTTAAAATTTTGCTGACTTTCTCACACAATGAAAGAGACTCCAATATGCTTTCTCAACAAGACATTCACAGAAGAGTAAGAGACCCATCATTAAAAACTACTAAAAACCAAAGTCATAAGAACCTTACTTAAGGTGATTCAGTTTTGCAGATGACTATCCCATATACACTAAGGATTACTATTTGAAGACTGATACTCACAACTGATTTTATAAGCCATGTTAGTTTCATTTGTGCAGTGCTTCTATTTTAATTTCAATAGGATAATATCAAAATGCTATACTATGGAGATACTGCTGCTATGTGATTACTTCTGAGATATATATATAGAGAGAGGTATATACAAAACCTTTGCTACTGCAGTTGCAAAACCAATGCATCCTACAACTAGAACTCAACATACGGCAGTTAGCAGGAAAGGTAAACTACACAGCCACAAACGTTTCATACTCATCTACATATTTAAGTAAAGCTGACTACTCTGCACTAATGAACAACTACAGGACTTTATAAGTTTTCTTTCCCACTATATGAACTTCTAGTTCCATCTATTTCCACGCTCAAATCAGACCATATCTCTTACTTCACATCTTACTGCAAGATTTGTTAGCTAAAGAACTGATACAAGTTTCTCCTAGGTTCCTGCCTACCTCCTTCCAATATCAACTGAGAGACCACTAAAAAGGAAAATGATGGTTTCTCAAACAAGCACACAGGCCTAAAGAGACTCTAAACCAAGTCAATACAAGCTCATTCTCAATAAAGCTACAAACCATGCTTTCTATGGAGCCCAATGCAGCAAGCCTTCCAAATGTTATCTTGTTTGACCTAAACAGCAGAAGATGATACAAGCAGAACCAAATTCCCACTTAAAGGACTTATCAAAAAGAGTACGATAATATAGTGATTTTTTCAGTGAGTGGTAAGGTGTTCCTCAACACTTTCTGAGTGTATGAGATTTGAGACTGCTTAGCATACTGCAAGACTGCACCAAAAAAAAAAAAAATCTCTTCTTGGTCTTTATTTTCCATTATTGTTGCGCTGGATGGGAAGTTATAAACCTTTCAAACAGTTTACAATACAGCAATTTACGATGCAAAAACTCTATGCTGAATTATGAAGAGTGTGTGATTCTCCTGTATCTCTAATTTTTGTGACTAATAGGATGCCACAATAATCAGGGAAAGGGACAGGGGGATAGGGAAGGAAAGGGACAATATATTTAGACTTGGATGTCTGTGATGGTCAACCTGAGAAACTGAGTGGACCCACCACCTGAACAAGCCTGCTTCTTTTTCTAGACAAGACTACTTCTGTTCCTAGACTGTTAGAACCACTAATGGAATTGCTCCATAACTGCCTGATGTCCCAGTTAGGGCAAGAAGCATATACCTCTATGTCTTCTAAAAGAGAACTTTTTAATCAATTTCTGTCATCTGCAAGTATAACTAGTTATTTTTTTTTTTTTTAAATGGCTATTTAACAGGATTATCTTATTTACGTTGCCTTCTACTGTTAGAAGTATCAAGCTCTACAGAGAGATGGCATGAAACATCATCCATGTATTACAGATGGAGACACTGGCACCAAGGGAAGTCAGCAAGTTGGCCAGTGGCAGGTTAGCTGAAGTTCTGTTTCAGCCAGGGAAACAGGGTTTCTCTACAGGTTTCCTTTGCAAATCTCCTAGATAAAATATTAACCCCTTGGAAATCATTCTTGCTTCACTAAAAAATACTCTACACTTTTTTTGTAGGAACATCATATTGCAGCAGTATTTTTCAAGTAATTGTTGTAACTTCACCAATGACAAGGTTTTCCTATAACAAGAAGTCACATCCCATTTCACAGCATACACAGTAACAGTATTTTATAAGCGCTGATTATTTAAACTAAGTTAGAGGCTATAAAAACAAGCATAAGGGAGATTTTTTGTTCTTTAAAGTTGTCATGAAAGTCAATGGTTGTGACAAGTATACAATCATCTAGAGTAGATTCATACAGTTTTTCATCTGGTAGCTGTTTTCCTAGGTAACTCTTATATTAATGGAAACTTCTATATAAGCTGCCCTTGTTCTTAGGTACTCTTACTACTAGAAAATATTTCCTAATCTCCCTTCCTGTTAAGAATTGTGTAACTTAAATTCTTTACTTCTAGTTCAATGTTTCTTAGCATTTATTAGACTATATAAACTCAGTCCCTCTGCATTCTCCTCAATGATGTTTTCTTAGTCACAAATATGATCAGAGGCCTTTCCTCTAGCATCTATCTGCTTCACATTTCCTGCTGTCCCTCTAATAATGCTGCATTAGAAAGGTTACCCTTTGTGAATGCTGGTGGTTCCTACAAATGCTTTTTTTGATGATGCTTGCAAACTTAAGCGAGAAGTAGAAGACAATATCGAAATACCAAGTTCCATCGTGGAAACCAGTAACACAGGAAAACAGCAATGCGGCCCGATTCAGTGTTCAGACCTAATGAAAGTAAGACTTAGCCAGACTGCTGCTGAGCCTCTAGCTCAAAGGCCATCAAAGACCGATTCAGTTTACACAGCCACAGAACTGTATAACCTCTCAAAACCAAAATGAAATTTGGGAGCGATGAGTTTCAATGTTATGTGACAGGGATATACACAGATGTAGATACGCACACACACATCTGTATCTATACATCTCCACTGCTGAATCCACAGTCCAGGAATTATTGCAGACCTCTAAGTTCTATCAGATGAGTTACAAGTCCCATAATTAAGTAACTACTGAAAATATAAATCACTCATAACAATAAAGACTTTATTATCTTTTCCTCAGAATTTTTATGACCAAGATATTTTAATAATATTCTGCCATACTCTAATGCTATTCTTAAAGGGTTAATGTCATTATCAACTGAAGATCATAAAAACTCAAGTGCATACTTAAAGTACTTAGGAACAATTTTTCACCAATTTTGAACGAAAATTTAAATTACTCTTGTATGTGCCACAAATTCTGTTGTACTTTTTGCCTTTGTCTACATTTTTAGTATTAGAAAGTGCTATTTTCATACACTAATCACATTATAAAACATTTACCTTTGGATGTGATGATTTCCCAGGCTTCATCTCTGCCTGAAAGACAATTCCATTTATGAACTTTGAGTAAAGTTGCTTTTGAGTTACACACATAATTACTGTTTGTCTTCAACTACTTGAAAGAAAATTAAGTACTAACAGCCAATACCCCTAGAAGTTACATCTGCTTTACTGATGAAACTGTGCATATCATGTTCATGCTCCTCCTATCAAGCTCAGCTCGTTTGAAACATCTGATAAACTTCAAAACCAACATGTTATAATGAAGTCCACAAATCATGTTGAAATGTTCTGGACTATACATACAACACACAGTATAAAACATACATAATGCATAACAACAAAGTTATGAGAGATTTACATTGCCTCCTTAAAGCTAACTTCTGGTGTATGAGCAGCTTTAAAGTTAGTACTGAGAAGAGCATTAAGGCATTTAATGGCTGCTTCCTCATTAAAGAATTTTTTTAAAAAAAGTTAGTTTTGACACTCACTGCAATCCTTCAGATTTCACAGTTTCAAAACAAACAGGTATTTCTTAGCACCAAGGAGTATCTGAAGAAATCTGTTTCTTTCTACTGCACTTTCTTCCCCTACACTCCACCTCCTCCAGATACAGAAAAGATATACACAAGCTTTACATTTACTCAGATTTATTCAGATGACTTCTGTAAGTAGAAATATTAAGTCCTCAACTGTAAAAATTTAGCTTCAGAGTGGGAACTAGTCTGGAAGAAAACTTACAAGTTTAGTAAGGACAGGAAAAACACACTTCATACTGAAATCTTACAGAGACTCTCATTAAAAAAATCAACCAAAAACCAGTTAAACCAGCAAAGTAGCTACTGCTAAACAAGAAAAAAGCAGAGTAAGAACAACTGTCATCAACGCTTAAGGGCTCTGGCTTTTAAAATCAGTGAGCCACTTCTATTTATTTCAAACAACTCTGCATCAAGTGGTACATAATCATAATTGGAAGGGTTTTCCCCTTAACTCTCATTATACTTCCCCCTCCAACCGTCAAATCTTAATGAACCTCACAAGCATGTCTTGAACTATGACTGTACTATGTAAAAAAACCCAAAACAACAACAAACCACGGATGGTTATCACATTAGAGCCTTAGCTTTCTAATGAGCGTGGGCTCCTAAAATATATTAGTTTTCAAGCACGTTAAATTATTTTCATTCTTACCTAAAAAAACCCATCCTGCTCAGCCTTTTCAATACATTCACTTAGCACATTAAGCAATATTAAAGTTATCATCATCTGCCCCATCATCTACAAGTATCCTCATTCCATATGGCAGCAGAGACAAATGAAACACCAGAGCATGATCTTGTTGCGAAGAAGCAAAAGCTCTCCCAGGGCTTCCCAGAAAAGCACCCGAAGGAATTTTTAACGCCGCTGCCAACGCGGCAGTCCCTCGGGAGCAGCACAGCCAGGGAGCAGCACCCCGCCTGCCACCCCCCGCCTGCCAGCCACTGCCGCCCAGGAAAGAACCGCATTTAGTCACGGCGAGACCCCAAACAGCGCACCAAAACCAAATCTGCCGGCCGCCCCCCCGGCCCGCTCCGCTCCGCTCCCACACGCCGCTTTCGCCCCCGCAGACGCGCCCCA